CCCACCACACATACACACACATACCATCAATCAATCTCCACAAAACAAATTAAAACAAGGGAAACAACAATATCATAGTAAAAGTGGGAACATTCAGTCAACCACAGTCATACCACACACTCTCCATACAATTAAAAATTACAAAAATTACAAATGTATAAAAAATTATAAAAACTGTGCAATATAGCAAATTGATTGAATATAGTCCAAAAAAGCCAAGGAGGGAGTAATGTCCAAAACCTCCCACACGAACACCCGAGATCCAGGGAGTAATAAAAGAGACATATGATGATAGCAATAAAGGGAGAGTCACACTTCCAGTCCTCTCTCTCATTACTGTAGAAAGTCAGTGGGGGGATGAACAGGAAGCCCAGGATGGCAGTAAAATCATAGGCCCCAATTTGCTCCCCAATGATGGCCCAGAGAGAAAGGCCATGAAATGTCTGGGAGGCAAGTAGGCCACAGGCAGTGAATAGTAGCAAAAAGTTGTGGAGCCAGCCATAGGCGACGGCAGGCCAGCAACACCCCTTCCCTCAGGAACAAAAGGACATACAGGAGCCAGGGAAACCCCATGATAAGGGGGGAGGAAAAAGCCCCGCTCCCAGCTGTACCGTAACACTCCCAGTGGAGGCAGCCAGTCGGTAGGCCATCAGGCTAGCAACCCCACCCCCACCCTAACCTTAATCCTAATCTTAAACTAAACTAACCCCACCCTATAATTCTAATCTAACCCTACCCTGTCCCTAGCCTGACCCTGCAGCAGCACAGACAGCAGAATACTTGTTGCATGCAGAACAATAGCTTCTTATACTATTCATCCATATTTCAGAAATCACTAGATACTATCTCTATAAGGGTATATGTAGCTGTCAAGCCAAAATAAACAAAAGCTAAGGGTTTTTTTGTTTTCCACTAGAGGGTGGCATCTCAAAAGAAGGGTTATATTAATATGTACATTAATTTTTTAAAATAAAATTCTACTTTTGAAAATTCTATTTTCAAATCCTTATGTGCTTGAGTTTCTCTCTTTCTGTCTAAACACTTTTATAGAAAAACAGTTAATCAATATTTTGGAGTATTTTTTTTCTTTTTGAGAAGAATATGTTTTCAAACTCAGCTATAATTCTGTAAATTTTTAGTGTGCTATTTATTTAGGAAAAGTAACATAAAAGAAACACAGATAATTCAGAGAGATAAAGAGAGAGAGAGGCAAGAGAAAGAAAGACTATGAAAAAAGCCTGTCTTCTTTTTTTCCTAGTGTATGTTTACTTATAACTTTCATTGATGTCTGTTTTGTGTCTCCATATTTATATTCAGGAGTGTGTAAATATGCATTTTCTATCTATCAATGCATGTCGCAAAACATAAGGGAGAATAGGGGAGTTTCAAACACATTAGGCTAATAGACATACTGTAGATCAGTGGTCTCCAACCTTGGCAACTTTAAGACCCGTGGACTTCAACTCCCAGAGTTGAAGTCCACAGGTCTTAAAGTTGCCAAGGTTGGAGACCACTGCTGTAGATCTTTCTCTGTGAGTGTGGGGGGAGGGAGGGAGAGGGAGGTGGAGAACAGAAAGAGATTTTCTAACTAATGAGTTGATATAACAAGAGCAGGAATGTTCTTCCTTTTCAGTATCATGCCCTACATGTTAAAGGGAATGCAGTGCTTCGCAGAGAGGCATTCCTTCTGAGCAGTGAAACAATGCCTGGAAGCAGAAAGGAGAGCTGTGTGTATTTGTACCCTAAACGGTAATGTCATCTAACAGACAAGTTGTCTCAGCCAACCAGGCTAGAGCAGCAGCAAGTCCTACATCTTGGCACTCTATTGGCTCCTCTCTGGGGAGTGGATGATTATTAATGACCACTGAGAAGGCAGCACCATGTCAGTGTGACAACTGATCGGGTGAATGATGCACCACTAAGCACCATGGAAACGAAGAGAAAGAAGAAGAGAAGCTAGAAGCCTGCCCTGCCTGCCTGCCTGCCTCTCTCCACACACACCCCTTCTCCCTTCCATCTCCTTCCCTGGATGGTGGGCTTCTGAAAGCCAGCAGAGAGCTCTGGAAAAAAGTACGGGAAATCGGCAGGCTGCGCAGAGATTCTCTCCTCTTATAGGATATATAGAGACAGCACTAATATTCATTATCTGTACAGATGCCGACTCAGCTTCCTAGCTTTAACATCAATATGTGGCTACCTGAACTAAGGAATAAAATAAGCATGAGTATTCCAGAACTAAATTTACTTTTGTAGGGTAAGTATTTTATTTATCCTAAGTTCTGTTCTTGTGCTATTTGCTTGTGAGATGTTTCTTTTCTGTCTCTAGTTTTCAGCCTCAGCTCCAGATTTTACTCTTTTGGTGAAACATACAAAGGACCCCTGTCTGCTCCAAACAACTCACCATCAAATCCTCATTAATCTATTTTCTCCCCAAGACTTCTGAAAGCTGAAACATACATCAAATGGCTTGAATAATGGGATTCTCAGTACCCTCAAGGCAAAATGAAACAGCCTACTTTCTCTGTTTGGAAACCAATTACATGCAGCACAGGGCAGTTCTTTAACCCCCTTCCTCAGGCTGAATTACAGCTAATGCCACAGCATGTCATACTGCAACCTAGTAGCTATTCAGAAGGAAGACTGAATAAGATCATCACATTCCAACTGAATGTCTCCCAGATTAGACTTTTAAGAATTGTTGTAATGACTGCCCCCCCCCACACACAGACACCTGGTAGTCAGAAAGGCAATGCCCCTATTAGTAATGCGCTGGAACTGGCATATGTAAGGTTAAAAAAAGACAGTCTTCATCTCCTCTGGTAACTGAAAGGATTATATCATAAGCCATTAAAGAAAATTTCTGATAGGAAAACCTGGGGTCAGGAGACTGTATATTCATTCTTTGATGTTGATGTTATTGCTTGTTATGGAAAATCTGAGATATTTGCTTGAAAATAGGAGTGAGGAAGGGGTCTTGATTTGCACCAGCTCTGTTTGGTTCTAACCAGTAGCATAATTTAGAATCAATAAGGCTGTGTGCTTAAATTAGAAGGAACCAAATGGATAAAACAGGCAAGCTTGACAGGCTAGCTTTGATGTGTGTATAAGAAGTAGTGCTGGCACAGATACGGGAAGAGGAAGCCAAAGCAAACCAAACCTTGTTAACATATTTAATATAAAAATATCATAGTGGATCAGAATAAAAAAGGTCTCTTGTTCCTATTCCAGTATGAATAAAAAGTGGCAACGTGCCTTCCAAAATAGTTCTGTGTAGTATTTTTTGTAAGCTGAAGAATCACACATATCATCAAATGCCTGTTTTTGCTCCATTCCTGCCCACAAAAAAATCCTAGAGGAAGCCTGCTCCCTCCCCAGCAGCTCTTTCTCTGAAAGTTAATATTGGCTCTGCAGTATTCAGTGCAAACAGGTAGGGGGCAAGGGAGAAAGCAACAACTCTTCCTGAAACTGGTCACTTTCCCATTAAGAAGACAGGAGAAAGTGGGGGGGGGGGGCTCAAAGCCAAGGATTGGCCAAGAAATCTGCTGCCCTTTCTAAAAGATGGGAAGAAAGCAACGCTAATAAAAGCCTACTTTTTTGTACTCAGATAATAAATGAGTTTAAGGCAATTATTCCTTTTTAGATTACAGCAATAGCAGTAGCAAGGTGGAAAAGCTATTGTTATTGGCAATCGTGTCATTCTCCATAGCTGCCTCTTTCCTTTTTCTCTTTGCAAATATGATTTGCTATGCAACAACAAAAACAATTGCTTTAAACTTACCTTCTTAGGCACCTTTCGGCTGTTTTAAAGGGAGCTGCATCTTTATGTTTTCAGCTATGCAAATGTGTTTCATTGCAGTCATGAAATAAATCATACTGCATTGTGGGTGATATAGTAAATGCATTGCTTGCATGAACACAGGGTCAGAATGATTTGTATGGATGTAACAGTACAAATGTTGATAATTGAGACCTGTGACTAAATAGTAGGTAATCAATAGTGTAATCCAAACTAGTTTAGCTAACAATAAGTCTATGGTATATGATTCTAACCATTTAAAGTATCACTTTTGAGCTTTTCAAAATATAGTTCCCCCCCTTTTTAATTATCTCCATAGTGATAGTAACACCTATGCATGTTCTAAAACTCCCAGTCTTTAGAGGAATATTCTTGTTAAATTTGCTAATATATTCTTTTAAAAAAATTACTCTTTATTCGCCACCCTAACCTCACTGTTGTATTTTGCAATCACATTATATAATCAGATGCATGCACTAGTTAGGACTTTTTTTTTTTAAAGAAAAATGTAACTATTTCAAAATACAATGGAAATGTGCTAATAATCATACTCAGTTGAAAAGAAATTGGAGGGTTAAGCTAATTGCTAGAAAACCAAATTGAGTTTTTCTTTGAGCTTCCCATTGAAACCAGATATCCTAGCTCAGGAGTGTCAAACTCACATTGTCACAGCAGCGTCACATAAATATAGGCACTTTTCCCCCCTTCACTAAACTGTGTGTGGGTGTGGCCAACGTGAGACACATCTGGCCTGTGGGCTGGGAGTTTTGACAGTCCTGACCTAGCTATTGTAATCACAGAAAATACTGGGAAGGGAAGGAAGGGAAGAAGTCCCATTTTTTATTCCATCCATCAAATATTTATTTATTTACTTATTCGTTTAATTTTCATATCAATAGAAATGCAACTTAATCATTGTACACAATAACTGAGGACAATTACAGAGTTAGCATATTACCTCCAGCAATCTCGGTCCTTATTTTGCCAACTTCAGAACAATGGAAGGCTGAGTCAACCTTGAGCCAATGAGATTTTAACTGCTGGCAGCTGGCAGTCAGCAGAAGTAATTCTAATCAATGGGCCAGCATGGTTACTCCAATTTTTTGACAAGATACATATGAATTCATGCATAATTAAGTTCAGAACTTACTAAAATGAGGCAAGTTGACTATAAATACATTCTATTTAAAAAGCAGGAATGAACTTAAAGGGCAATTTCTGGCACCTTAAGAAACATATCCCCAGTTTAATGGAATATTCTGTGATTGAAGAGCAGACACAGAAATCTACAAATGTAGAAAAACATGACAATAAAAATTGGTATAAGGAAGACTAATGATACTTTCTTAACATACATAAATGGAAAGGTAAAGTTAAGGATGGAGATTTAAAACCAATTTATTCAATATCACAATTTTGTAAAATACATGGTGGTAAATATAAAAGGTTTTGAATTAAATCAAAAGAAAAATTACAATAAACTGCTTGAGTTTTGTAATTGTGGATTAAAATTTTATTGCAATCTGGAAGGACAAATAAGGGGTTTCATCATTAAAATATCTTTAGACATAATGTAACCAATAAAAGATCAATGCTGCTTTTTCTTAGGTTTACCGAATAAGAAAATCCAAACATACTACTACTGCTTACAGTTAACATATTTGTAAGGAGGACAACATATCTGCTTCTTCCAGTTTCAATCGGATTGATTTAAATACTGATTACAATAAATAAATTTCAATCTGATTCAATCTATTCAAGATTCAAGATTTAATAAATTTGTATGCCGCCCAATCCTGAAGGACTCCGGGCGGCTTACATAAAAACAGTTTTAAAAATACTAAAAAAATTTAAAATACAAAGACAGCAAGTTAAAAGAACACAACATGCACTCAAGCTTAGTGGGGCTGGAACTCAATCAAGGGTCAACAGCCCCAGGCCTGCCGGAATAGCCAGGTCTTAGTAGACTTTCGGAAGGCCGAGAGAGTGGGGAGGGTCCGGATCTCAGGGGGTAGATCGTTCCATAGGGCCGGGGGCAGCTACAGAGAAGGCTCTCCCCCGAGGAGCTGCCCGTCGACATTGTCTAGTCGACGGCACCTGGTGAAGGCCCATCCTGTGAGATCTTATCAGAGGTATGCAGCAGGAGGCAGTCTCGTAGATATCCAGGTCCTAGGCCATGTAGGGCTTTAAAGGTGATAACCAGCACCTTGAAGCCCGTTCGGAGACCAATAGGGAGCCAGTGCAGCTCGCGGAGGATAGGTGTAACATGGGTGTATCTCGGTACATCCAGTATCGTTCGCGCGGCTGCATTCTGGACCAATTGTAGTCTCCGAACACTTTTCAGGGGCAGCCCCATGTAGATTCCAGAGTTGTATGCAATCATGTCAAACTTAGTCAGGATATATTAGAGTGAGCTTTGTTAATTTTGCAAAGCTTTATAAGTTTTCAGTTCTATCCAAGTTAGCTTAAAAATTCAACCTAAATAAGAGAAACAGTTCCACTTCAACTACATCTAAATGACCACCTTGCTGAAGCCACAGTTGTCTATTTGTTATTTCTATATTTTTCATATATGTCTATTGTAATTATTGTCTTGTTTTGGTAAAGTAACATAAATGTAAAATAGTAATAAAGTGATACAATACAATAAAAAACTACAGGTAATCATTAACTTACAGCCACAATTGGAACTAGTTTTACAGTCACAAGTCATTAAGGTCATGAGTCAGGCATCAACATAACTGGACTTGATTTTACAATTTTGACGCAGTCATTAAGCAAATCCATAGCCATTAAGCAAATACCATAATTGTAAATGTGAAGCCTTTCCTACAAAAGGGTGTGGGTTTTTTTTGCCAGAAACCTGCAAACAAAACCACAAATTGCAGTCACAAGATGAGCTGGTTGCCAAGTGTTCAAAATAGCCACATGACCACAGGAGATGTGTGTGGCATGATATTTTAGGACAATCTGAAATACTTTATCAATCCTAAAACACCCATTCGGAACCCATTGTAATTTCAAACAATTGCTAAACAACTGGCTGGAGGTCAAAACTATCTGTAAGCAGAAAAGTCTTTGAACCTGTAAAAAATTTACATGTAGCAGAGACTGAAATAATAACAGGATTTAAAATTAAAAAGAGACTATTACAAATACTAAAATAGTTTAAATAAACAAAAAGATCTGTGCCCTAAACTCAAAATATTTTATTTAAGTGAAATTGGTGTTTTTGGAAAAGCAGCAAGGTAAAAAGAAAGAGAATTAAAATATCTCATATATAACACACTTCTGTAAACATTTCTTTACCACTAAATCAATTTAATAATATGGTGGTAAAGTGGAATCTTGGCTAGTAACTCTGATTTTACTTAGGAGTTGGAAGGAAGGAAAGAAGGAAGATTAGAAAAAATAAAACTAGATATATTGGGGACAGCGATTACAGCACAATTATTTCC